CAAGAGCTGTATGCCCTAATGAAAGAATTCGCTTAATTGGCTCTCTTCTAATTGTAAACAAATGAGAGCAAAGTGAAAAGAAAAGGTTATATGTAAAAATATATTTACGACTACAATCAACAGATTTTTCACCAAAAAAGCCTTAATCTTTATTCTTTCCAGATTAATTTCAACATTTTGAAAGAGCAACAACGATGAGGTGAGTGTGAGTCCATGCAAGAACTAGTAATGTGATGATCGACAACATCAATACAGCAATGTCTCACCTTTGTTCTCAAGAGTGTGCCATTATGTACAAAGGATAGATTATTCCCGTCGTAAGAGAGATCTATGCGGATTGACTAGTGTGAGAATTCGCGGATTTGTGGAGCAAAATTTGACAATAGTAACATATGACATGAATCATGTTTTTAAAAGTTGTTTAAACAATTTTAGTATTTATTGATCCAATTTTTCTAAATTTTTCTTATATCTAACGAGTGAGCTGTGTGTGTAGTAAAGATATTTTAGGAAATGTGAAGAATCACAAGCATTTTGAGTAGTTGGTCATATTCGATCCGTAGATAGGAAAATTCCTCTGTAGTGCTGCATTGTTGCCACCAGTAAATCCACCATATCCCATTGTTGACGGATTGAAAAAGGCACCACTTGTCTGCAACAAATATTTCTTCATAAAATCCGGATTTAGAGGTAAGTAATATCAATAATTTGTTTCCAATAAAATGATATTTTAAAATAAGCGGAAAGCCTACTTGTAGCCCGGTCGGTATCAGTGAGCGATAGTTTGCCGACCAGCCACCCTGCATGAAATCCTGCTGCAATCGGTTTACTGTCTGAGGAGAAAGGTAATCCGAGCTGGCACCACCAGACTGCGGCTGAAGCGCTTGAGCTATTCCTGAAATAGCTAAGAAAAAGATTCTCTTCTTCTTAATTTCTTGGTCTATGAACCAATTCAATGTTAATTGACATTTTTCAAACTACTCGTTAATATCTTATTGAAATTTTGAGATTATCTATCTTTTCACCACAATCAGTTAAGAAAAGTACCCTTGAGTTTTTGGAACATCTAAGTCTTACGGCTTAAGTCTTACGACCTATTAAAGTTGAGAGGGTTTTTAAATGACAATCGCGCCAGCACTACGCTCAGACGCAAAGCACGGGTAAATAGCCCAGACGTTCCAAAAGTATTTGACTGTAGAAGATCAATCGAAGCTGTGCCTTTCCTGAATACTTGCCAAGATTTCCATGTAAGGGAAATAATGCGTTTTTGAGCAACCCTCCTCCCCCATTTCTACATTGAAAGTTACGAAATGGAATCATATTGCAATGTTGGGTCACCTACGTCTTTTTGACTTTGCCGGTTTTTCCTAATTTCTGGTTATTGGTCATCGTGTAGAGGCAAGCAATTAGTCAAATTCTATGCTTACATAGAATTTGACTAGTTGCTAGCTTGCCAGCGATTGTATATGTATTGTACGTAGCTCCTTGTGGCAAACGATGCGATGCCTTGTATATGTCGCTGTGCACTCTTTTTAGGGGCACATAATCAGTATTAGGAAACTTTAAGATAAACATTTTATAACGTGGAAGTCTGTTATAGTTAGACATTGCTGCTGATATAATGAGT